GTGAAAAAGTTCATCTTTGATTACCACACTTCTATTTTCATCAGTTCCAAAACTAAGAAACCGGCTTCTGTTACAGCAGTATGGGTGGACAAACAGAGGCAATAGCGTGGAGTTTTTAAATGTTCACATTTGGAGATTTTTTCCTTTTGAGTTGTTTCTAGGTCGCTGGAAATTTTTCTTAAATGAATTCAAACCATATCATAACAGTTTGCCAAGGAGGAATAACTACAAAAACACAAGAATACCCCAATAGGGATGGAAGAAGGTTTGGGAAAAAGAAATTAGCACAAATTGTAGATGAAGAACAAGAGGAAGTTAGTCTAACTTTTGTAAGATGCACGCAGCACTAGGCTTTCTTAAAAGTTGGTATTTGAGATACTAAGTATAAAGAAAGCCGGGATATCTTATCCCATAAAACTTACCTAGTGACATACAAAATATGCATGTTACCAAAACATGATTTAAGTCTAAAATAAAACAAGTTGAAATGGAAAATTGAAGAACAATATCGTCAGCATGTGAATTTTACAGAAACTATACCTTGAATGAAACAGAACGACCAGAAATACATAAGCATTTTTAATGAACGATTTGAAATTTACAGACTAAAATGTACAGAAATATTAGTCACTCGAATTGTGATAATTACAGGATAAATTAACATTATACTGATGAACACGCAGTTATATATTACTGCTCTTAATTTATCGGGAGGTGTCAGAGTTTTTCCAAAGATTTTCGAAGACAGCTGCCATGATTCATCGGTTGTTGACACTCAACAGTAAGCTAGAATGAATAGGGAAAGTTTAAGGTTGAGGAATTTGTAAGCACACAAGACCCGGAAGAGAATTGTCACAGTTAAAGGCAACATGTAACTCAAGCTGCAGAATAGAGCCTATTCAATCGAGATTAAACAGCGACATTTAAACGTAACCCAAAGTAATTTTTGCCGTGATTCTCGATAACAATTTTTGAAACGCTCAGTGTCTTCTTGTTCTTTCCAGAAGGAGATCATTATCCCTCCTTGTCCCTTCCAGTAGGGTATCCTTTTCTCCTGGCTCTAAGCTCTCTTGCATTCTAATGTCACGGGTAAATAGGTTTCATTTTGCCGTGGTATCACTGGAGATCAGATACGCTGATGGCCGATAAAGGTAGTTTAAGTCTGTACTAGAGTCCAGTGCCCCACCTAGCCGGGCTTACCCCGGTTGCCATTTGCATGAAGCGACAAGGTGTATTACTACTCCCCCCTGGATGGGATGCCAGGCTTCCCCTGGACACAGAGGCACTGTGAGAGTTAAGTGTTTTGCCCAAGATTACAACACATTGGCCAACCTTTTCAGCGCACTAACCACTAAGCCACCGCGCCTCCCACGCCGATGCCGATTGGAAGCATCAATGCATTTCGATAAATACTTCCTTTGGCCGTGCGTGCGCAGCTTTCGGCTGCGTGAATATTCCGGAGAAAAATATTTGTCGTGAAATGGATCCCTCACCGACCATTCCATCGTTTTGGCATGGTGGGGGGAGGTAGTTAAAACCCAACCCAATTTGACAAAAATCGTTCAGGGAAAAATGACGAACAACAAAAATACACTGAACGTATTTGAAAACACTTTCGAGAGAATTAAGGGAGAAACAAGAACGTTAAACTGTCTCCGTGTAATATCGAGTAAATGGTTATGAAATAGGTTGTTATTCATGGGCAGCTGGATGATAATATAAATTTGTTCTGTTGTCTCATGACAAAGTCACTAGATGTAGAACTCAAAGTTTCGACTGCTTACTGCAAGGCTTCTTCAGGCGATGGGGTCGACTGGATGCGGAACAGCATTATATATCATGGTGGTCTGTTGTGATTAGGGCATTTCGATCCGGCTATTGTTTCCGTGCACCACCTCAGGCGTTCGTTGATTTTTCGCGCGTCGTTGGTTTTGATGTTTTCTTATTATAGGCATTCACGCTTCCGGTATTTCGGCTCCGTTAACCCTCTTTACGTTGTTTGGGTTGAGTCATGTGTCAGTGTGAATTGCCTCTTTCACTTTCCTTGTGTACCAATGGCTGTCTCGGTCAAGAAGCTTTATCTCGTTCCACAGCGGCTTGTGTCCGGTTCCGTTGGCATGTTCTGAAACCGCGGAATTCTGAGGGCGTGCGAGTCGTATATTCCTGTCGCCTTTCTCGACACCCTCGCAACAAGGGAACCAAAGGGCAAACTACTCACAAGTGTTTACAGAAAACCCACACACACCGACCAGTACCTCGCGTATGATTCACACCATCCACAATCGGTTAAACGCGGTACTGTCAAATGTTTACACGATCGGGCCAAACGCATCATCACCACGCCATCAAGAACAGCTCAGGAGAAGAAACATCTATCTACAGTTCTCGTCGCCAACGGCTACCCTCCGTCCTTCTTACAGAAGGTGACCAAAACCAGGAAATCCAACACCAGAAATCAAGTCTACCGCAGTACTCCCAGACATCAAAGGAGTCTCAGAGTCCCTCCACCGCCATCTACAGCAACAAGGAATACACACCGTCGTTAAGTCCAACACCACACTAAGATCTCTCGGCTGGTCAGAACAAAAGATCCCGCTCACCCGTACAAGCAAGATGGCGTAGTCTACAAGATACCATGCACATGCGGCTCAGTCTACATCGGAGAAACAGGACGACCCATGCAAGGGACAATGAAAAAACACGACAGGGAGGTATGACTCGCACGCAATCAGAGTTCCGCGGTTTCAGAACATGCCAACGGAACCGGACACAAGCCGCTGTGGAACGAAATAAAGCTTCTTGACCGAGAAAGCCATTGGTACACAAAGAAAGTGAAAGAGGCAATTCACATAAGACTCAACCCAAACAACATAAACAGGGTCAACGGAGCCGAAATACCGGAAGCGTGGATGCGTACAAGAAGAAAACATCAAAACTAACGGCGCGCAAAAAATCAACGAACGCCTGAGGAAACCATGGTGCATAGAAACAATAGCCGGATCGAAACGCACCAATCACAACAGACCACCATGATATATAATGCTGTGCTGTAACCAGTCGACCCCATCGCCTGAAGAAGACTCGCAGTAAGCAGTCGAAACGTTGCGTCCTACATCTAGTGACTTTGTCGGGAGACAACAGAACAATCTTATATTATCATCGAGTAAATTGGCACTAAATTGCAGCTTGAGCCACCTGTGTTAGCGACCGGCAAGGAAAAAAAAGTAGACAATTTTTCTGCCTGTGACCTGTGTGTGTGAGCGGTCCTTTTATCTGTAATACTTTCACCCACCC